GCACAGCTTGACAGACTAAATTAAATGTGTAATTATACTGCAATTTTTTTATTTTTTGTTTCCTGCTGCCTTTCATATTCTGTACATTAACCTCAACTATTCTTATGTAAATCCAATTGCATAATAACTAATTTATTGATTAAATCAAGGAAAATTATCAAGTACTTACTGCAGCCAAACAAATTCATCTTTACCGTTTCTGCAATATGCCTTTTTCAAAGAAACCCCTAGGATGTGTTTTCCATTCAGACTATTAATTTGGCCAGTGCAAGATACTTGACAAATATACTATATGGCCTTATTATCCTTGCCAACCTATTATCCAGTCAAATTGATTACTATCTATTTTTATTCATCTTATCAAGTGCCCACAATAATAGTTACTGATTCATGTTCGACATTAGAACCCACATGTGCAACTGAGTAATCAAATTTATTGAATAGAATTGCCTTGATTAGGTACTTAGGAAGAACAGACAAATGTAGACAAAGGATTAAAGATATTTCTTCTACACTAGGCCAAAGCATGGGATGGAATGCAAAAAGCGTATTTTGAAAATGTAAATGGCCCTTGTGTAACAATGGATTAGTAGTTTATGTAACAGCTTCATGTTATTGTGAGAGAGAGGGAAAGAGAAAAAGAAACAAGAAACTATAGGAAGCCTTACTGATTATATGTTATTAATTATCAATGACTGAAATACCACTTTCATCAAATATTGATAGTACATGGCAGTGCTGTTGATTACCATCTGAATCAAGACAATCCAGTTCATATGAAAGTGAACTGCCTTGCATAAAAAGTCAAGTAACATGCTTTTTTTTACTTATGGACTGGTTTGAATATGGCTTCTCAACTGGGTCTATCTACACTGATTTATTTTAATAGTACAATAGGATTATGATACAAATGCAAAATCATTATTTACTAATTCTTATTACTTTAACTATTGGCTCTTGAGAAAAGGCTTAAAATGCTGCAGAAAAAAATTCTCGACTGATTACCAAAATAATTGCTGGATTCCAGTAATTATTAATTATATTCTACAGAAAAATGCGTGAGGATATGGTATTCTTGAAATTCATAACACATAATTATAATAAAAAATTCTAACAACTAATATGCAGATATCATGCATTCATGAACTGCAACTACCATCATTTAAATAAAATATATACCAACTATGAATAATCATTCAAATATTTCAAAGAACTTTACTGCCAAAATGCATGATTCTTTTTGCCATAATTAGCTGCAATCAGTAAAAGTCTAATGCTATTTTCACAACCTTTGCAGTCTAGCCAATAATGGATTCTTTTGGCACTGATAAAATGTTACTGTTTCAATCTCATAAACTTGCAAACAAGCAACTTTCTTTGCAGCTCAAAAATATTGCCCAATATCCTGGGAGAAACTTGTGTATCTCACTCGCTCTCATTTTGAGTTAAACATTTAATTATTTAGTTTCAGTATTGCAGAAAATGTTTATTCCTACAGCAAATTTTGATAATGTATTCCACAGGCCCAATTATATTTCAAAATATCTATGAACTTGTGCTGAAGTTTCTTTCATTGACAGTCAAATATCAACATCACTACATGTTTTGATATCCTTTTCTGTTCCCAACTGTAAGTAACACTTAAAATTATTAACTGAAAATTTTCAATGAACATATATTTGTCACATTCTTTACCATGTCAATGCAGATTTTCTAAACAGAACTAAACCTACAGTTCACATTTCCCTGGCTCGCAAATAGATAGATATGTCAGTGGCATTTTGTGCAGTCTGTAATGATAATACAAGACCTTGCTTTACATACAAAGGTAATAAGCCAGTATTGTTTTCCATTGAGCTAACACATACTTGCAGTGTCCTTCAAACTCCATTTATAAATATTTATAAATTGCACAGTAACAGATATTACAACTATCATGCTAAATTTTAACTCTTATTAACTTAGCAATACACTATATACTGTAAAACAAAGTTCGCAAACTTATATACAGCCTCTTTATACATCCTGTAAATTAACTGATGAAATATAACTTCCAAACACTCACAACATCATTGTCAACCATGACATTCATGATTGTCATAATAATTAATGATGATTTCTTTACCCTGTAAAGAACAATTCAGTATATTTATTAATTCAACCAAAGGCTAGCAGCAGTTTAAGGCATATCATTTGTGGAAAGAACATGGACTGAAATTATTTTTGAAATTGTAACATCAAGGCAGATGCTGAGCTGACTTGATACTCTAACAGCAAACCCCACTGAGATATAATGTTTTTTTTCCAGTGACCTTCTGTAAATCACCACTAATATATGTAATCATAAACAACCTAATTGAAGATAAACAATTGATATAATTTCAATTTAACACAATAGTGTCATAAACTAAAAAGAAATTATATATTAGTAGTTATTAACATTCTGGATACTACTTCAATCAGCATCCTCAACATACACCCAGACATAAACAATATGGTTTAGATTGTAAACTCCAAATCCTATTGTCTAATTATCAACAAATCCCAATAATATTCATACAGGGACGCAGACTGAATACACTGGCATATAAATAGTCCGACAAAGTGCAGGAAAAGGCTGAACAAGTAGACAAATTTTTACACATGAGATCTTGCAGTTAGTTTGCTAATTACATTCTTTATATTTGTGTGCAAATAAATATATGCTTATACATATATGTTATGTTTTCATATATCTGTGTGTGTGCGCGCGTGTGTGTGTCTGTGTGTGTGTGTGTGTGTGTGTGTGTGTGTGTGTGTGTGTGTGTGTGTGGTGTGTGTGTGTGTGTGTGTGTGTGTGTGTGTGTGTGTGTGTGTGTGTGTGTGTGTGTGTGTGTGTGTGTGTGTGTGTGTGTGTGTGTGTGTGTGTGTGTGTTGTGTGTGTGTGTGTGTGTGTGTGTGTGTGTGTGTGTGTGTGTGGTGTGTGGTGTGTGTGTGTGTGTGTGTGTGTGCGTGTGTGTGTGTGTGTGTTGTGTGTGTGTGTGTGTGTGTGTGTGTGTGTGTGTGTGTGTGTGTGTGTGTGTGTGTGTGTGTGTGTGTGTGTGTGTGTGTGTGTGTGTCTGTGTGTGTGTGTTGTGTGTGTGTGTGTGTGTGTGTGTGTGTGTGTGTGTTGTGTGGTGTGTGTGTGTCTGTGTGTGTGTGTGTGTGTGTCTGCGTGTGTGTGTTGCGTGTGTGTGTGTCTGCGTGTGTGTGTCTGCGTGTGTGTGTCTGTGTGTGTGTGTGTGATTGAAACTGTAAAACAGTCTAGTACAGCTAATCAGAACAACAGCTCAGTATGCCATACAAGTGGGCCCTAAATCTTAGTAAAAATTCATCTGATATGATTGTAGTTCCAAGTAGCCTTCTATGTGTGACCTAAAACGGTAACAAATCTAATACAAAGCTTTTATAAGCTTATTTAAATAATGAAAGCAGAGAGACATAATGCATTTTTACATCCAGAAACTGATGTAGAGAGACTAGAACTGTGTTTTTCGTCTTTTCACTGACAATTAGTTCAGAATGAGTGTCTGTCACCTTCAATGTAGAAATCACAGTAATATGGACACACAAAGCAGTGTCAATTAGTTCAGATGGAGTATGGCACACACACAAAGCAATTATAAAAAAAAAAAAAAAAAAAAAAAAAAAAAAAACACCATGTTCCAGTCCTTCCATGTTTTTTTCCATGCAAAACCTCATATAATTTATC